AAATTTCACAATGTTTTTGTTCTTGTAATGTCATCTCTGTACGAGAAACGTCAATGTTTTCAATGCCATACATCAATATTTTTATTCACTTAACACTGGTATTTATAGGATAGTTACCTTTAATTATTTGCATTCTATATCGAATGTTCCGATCATGAGAGCCGGGCTCCAATTTCCTTATAGTCGATTTTGTTAGAATTTTTGGGTACAGTGATGTACTAGTGATCCAGTCAAAATGAGCTGACTCATTTTATAGTTCACCAATAGAAGGGTTAATCAATCAGAAAGCTCAAAACACTCAATGCGACGTGTATAAAGGCAGCCATTTTGTTTTTTTTCTCCCAAAATTTTTTCACTGCCAACCTCTGATATCTAAGACTTAAAGAATTAACAGCCGCTACTTTCTCCGAATCTTCACTGCCAACATCTGATATTGAGGACATTACGGACTTCACTGGATTCCATCTTCAGAGACTACGGCAAACATGGTCAACAGATTTATCAAGGTTGTTATTTTTAAACAATATTTGACTTGGGAGATGATCGATCCCAGTGTATGGTACCATTGCGATATACATTGAAGCGATACAGATTGAAGCAAGCCTTGTGAGTGAAACTTGGTAAACGAAACTTTTTGAAGACCGTCGATGGCTGAGCAAGCACGATTTCTCAAGTCATTATGACCGAGTGTTTGAGCGTATTGTTCTTGTTCAACTACTGTTCACATCACTTTATGCCTTCTCTCCGAGAAAATTTAACTAAATTCTGCCCAGAATAGTTTTTGTATATTGTTCTATTATGCTTAGCTTAGATGTGGTACAAGGTCGAATGTATGGGACACCCACTGAGTATTGACTAGGTGTCTGATTAAGATAAACAGATATGTTTGAGCACATTTACGCAGCAGGGATTCGCTACCATCGCCCTATCAGATGTGTACACACAGAAACGGATAGTTTAATATGGTAGTGTCGTCGTTGGCACACTCTCGCATCCGAGCATCGAATCGTCATTCTCTCTTCTTATTACATTTCTCTTTGATTTGAAATCCCAGCCTACTCCTGAAGTATCGTGAACATGATTCCCAGAAGAGTGTTAGTGCTGGATGCGACTAGGTGAGTCGTACACTCCTGACAGAACAATGCAGACCTTCTACATGTTGACGGTTGGACTAAAAATCTGGGCCCCACTACCCGGATAGACCTACGCCAGGTAGGCCAATTTGGAGCAACGGCTTCCCAGGTTTCACGGTGGATGTTGGCCTGTGTCAGAAATGTCTTCAACTGATACTTAAATCGTTGTTTTGGGCCTCCACGTAGACTCTTGCCGCTAGGATGACACATGGGAGTCTAGTGGAACGCATTCTGGACACGTGACCCACCCAGCGGAGGCGATGTTGAAGGATGATAGTCTCGATGCTGGGGAGAAATGACCGAAAGAGGACCTCGTTGTTGGAGATGCAGTCTTCCCAACTGATGCGAAGGAATCATCGGAGCTTCATTTCTTGGAATCGCTCCAGACGTTTGATGTCCCGGCAATACAAAGGTCACATGTCGCAACTTATGCTCATTGCGATTTATAACGCGACGCAAGTGGGGGTAACATATTACTTTTTTTTTAGAATTAAATTATTAGGGGTAACAAAAATTGACAGCATCAGAGAATGCAGATATTATTAAAGTTTTCAACATTTTCGAAGATGCCGTCTCACGTAGTTAACAAGGTTGTTTAATGTTGGCTGTATTACTTTTTCACCTTTTCTCTCTATTTTTCTTTACCAGACCTCCTCCCTCTTCTCTATCGTCTCTCTCTCTCTACCCTCCTCCCTCTCTTTTATCATCGCTCTCATTGACTTCTTCTATCACCTCATCTATCTCTCTCCATCTTCTGATTCATTCACGGTTTAACATTTTCACCCCCAGGTGAGTTTAAACCCATTTTCGCATACTATTTATGTCAACTTCGAAATTTTCTTCGAACTACACTCCTTATATCATAAATATTCTATATCTGCCTATCTCTCTGTCTCTCTGTCTCTCTGTCTCTATCTATCTCTCTCTCTCTCTCTCTCTCTCTCTCTCTCTCTCTAAAGCTTCGGATGACCCATGCCCTTTGTGCCTCCATGAAAAATTACACATTATTAAACTTCTAAATAATAATAATCTATTAAATAATAGACACGAGTTAACGGTTTTTTGTAGACATCATCAGATTTTTGGTTTGAATTATTAGATAAAAAAAAAAAAAAAAATAATAACTTGTTTAACAAATAGCCCAATCATCAGATTCATAGTAGGAATAATTAACTACAAACATGCATACAACATAACACCCTTCATAATCCATAGCCCAAATAAGTAGTTTAAATACCTTACATAATAGATAACCCTTTATGAAGTCGTCAAAAAACAAACGTTACGAAAGTTTTTCTTTTTTTTTATATGCAAAATTCCCTTTCATAATAAAATAAAATAAAATAAATAAATAAATCTCCATAGACAAGCAAACTAGATGAAGGTTAATACATCTTCCGTTTCATTTTAGACACCCCCACATTTCCCCGACTTGACACCTTGAAAGTATCTCTATACCGCTACTTATTATTAACACCCTACACTCGCCTACCCAATTTAAACAATTCGCCTTTGCTGTTACCATGGAGATTTTGATTTCAATTTTTAAAACAAGTAAATTTCAGATATACGTTATTCCAACAAAAATTTCGCTTGAAGATGGAACGGAGCCCTTTTTAATTTAAGCTCAATTTAATTTAAAGGATTATATTGAAGTTTTCGGCTCTTGTTTTGAAACATGAGACCTTTCATGTAAAGCGATTTGGAATCATATTTTTAAATAAATAATTATATATATATATATATATATATATATATATATATATAAAATCCCAAATTACCTCTATATAAAGATTACATTTCAACCGACGAAATTACCTCATTGACGTAGTTTCGTCTGTTGAAATAGATATCCCCTTTGAGGTTTTACGTAATTTAATCTTATTATATATATATATATATATATATATATATATATATATATATATATATATATATATATATAACCCATATGAAGTAATTTGGGATTTGTTGTTTAATCCTATTCATATGCTCTGTTATAATAAATATATTAAGCTCTTTTTGTGGATCAGTTTAATATTTTATATTATTAGGTTCCACTTGGATTATATGCCAATGGATTTATTACCTGTACTTATATATATATATATATATATATATATATATATATATATATTTATATATATATTGGTATATTTATGAGTTAAATTTCTCAGTATCAAGGACAGGGCCTGAAGATTGCTTTTAAGCATGAAACAGAAGTTGCGGCTAAGCGTTTTTCCGCAATGTACACTTTTCTATATGTATATACCGTATATACTTGCGTATCATGCGACCTTTGAAGACCTAATTTTGAAGCTAATTTTAAGCTGGTCGCATCATAGACGTGATATAAAATTAGCTTATATACTGCTGGACCTGGCTACGCTGTTTACCAAACTATATAGTCATTTACTGTAGTCAAAAAGCTGTATTTAAAATAAACATGATTTTGATAAAACTGATGTTTTACTTAACTGTATCCAATAATAATGCATGTAATATTCATATATTAGTATCGTATTATAAAATATAAACATAGTGAATATGCATCTTTTCCATTGTTTACGTTTATAAGATGTTTACCTATTTTTCGCTCAGTTTTTTATGGCTGTACGCGTTTACACAACGTGTATAGGGTTACTCGCAATACTTCTTACTTTTTGACACACGTATGTATATACGGTAATTATATTTTTACCTCAACAAGGAGCAATCTATTCATGCTCTTTCTCGTTCGCTTGTTTACGAGTGTAACGTTACTAACGATACTTTTATCATTCTATTTTACTTTTTTAACTGATTTAACTAGAAAATGGGATAAAGAGGTAGAGGAAAAGAGGTTTGTTTTAATTGGGTCTCTCGAAAATGGAACTCGCATAATACCCGTGATGCAGAATAAAATCTTTTTTATGTGAAAATTTCGATGTCGCCCGATACGCAAGATCACGCGTAACACAAGTGTATACAGTAAATATAACTTTACGAATGTGTACTACATGCATTCGTTTGAGAGCACACATGGTAATGACCAACTTTATTGACGGTATGTATTGATGTGCATATAAAATTATTTATTTCTGTTACTATCATCGCTTGACTATCTGCATATTCTCTATTGTGCATATAGTTGTGCACAATGACTGTGCAGGCGCAGTAATATATAGCAGATAATAGGATTATGAAAACACAATGAGTACAAGTAATGATATAAAGAAGAGAATTGGAAAACTGCTCTGCTTGTCTTTTTTTTTTGTTTTTTTACGGGATATCAACCTCAATGTGAATGCCGACAAAATTTTTATTGTTCGTAATTTTTATTTTTTTTCAAAAATCTATTTCTCGTAATATTTTTCCTTCAAATATGTATCGCTGGTAATATTTTTTGTTAAAAATATATTGCCTATTTTTTTTTCGAAAATATATAGCTTGTATATTTTTTTTTCTGAAATATACAGCTGGTAATATTTTTTTTCGAAAATATATAGCTGGTAATATTTTTTTTCGAAAATATATAGCTGGTAATTTTTTTTTTCGAAAATATATAGCTGGTAATACTTTTTCCAAAATGTATAGCTGGTAATATTTTTTTTCAAAAATATATTGCTGGTAATAATTTTTTACAAAATATTTCTGGTATTAAAACCTATTTTTACACTTTCATAGTGTTTCATCCTAGTTTGTGGGTTAACTAAATGCCCATAGCTAGGACCCTAACAGGTGTTACCACTCCGGAACCGGGTGGACCTGGGAACACCAGCAATTACGATGTGGTTTCACGCTCCTCAAAACTTCTTGATCAATGTCCTTGCTGTTGGAAGAAGTTTATCGTCATACCCAGGACAGAAAACTAGTCTGCGGAGATTGCTAATATATAGTAAGTGTATGAAGATTCAATAAAACACTGATGTTGATGATAAAGGAAAATGGATGGAAAGAAAAAAAGAAATAAAGGATGGAGAAAATCAAAGAAAAAAATAAAGAAGAAAAAAGAAAAGAATGAAGCAAAGTAGAAAAGCTAAAAATGGAAGTATTAGAAAAGAAAGAAAAACATGAAAGGCAAGGAAATGAAGAACAGAAAGGAAAAAAGAAATACAAAAAAATAAAGAAAAGCAAGAAGAAGAAGAAAAGAAAGGAAGAAGGTATAGCAAAAGAACAGCAGCTAAAAACGGGTGAAGAAAGAAAATAGAAAGCACAAATGGAGAAAAAAAAGTAAAAGAAGAAAACTAAGGAGAAAAAGATAAATTAAAAATGGATGAAAAGAAAGGAAAAGAAAAAGGATGAAAAGGAAGGAGAAAAGAAAGCAAAAGAGAAGAGCTAAGAATGGAGGGAAAGAAAGAAAAGGAAGAAAAGAAAAGGGGAAAAGAATGTCAAAAAAGATAAGCTAAAAATGGAAGAAAAGAAAATAATAGGAAAAAAGATGAAGAAAAAGAGGAAGAGAAATAACATGAAAAATAAGAAAAGGAAGGAGAAAACGAAAGGATAGAAAAGAAATTCAAGGAAATGAATGAAATAAAACGAGAAAAGGAAAAAAAATTGATTGGATAATTTTAAGAAATAAAAACAACAAAAATAAAATATTTTTTCTCTTTTATATTTTGATTAATTAATTTTGTATGACAACGATATTTTTTGAGCGACATTTCATCAGGCCTCAGAAGAAAATACGAATTTATTTTTAACAAATGAAGCGCAAAGTTCGTGAATTTTAATAAGCAATCCCGAAGAATTAAAATACGAACTGATGCTGAGATGGGAGGGTTTGTTTATTTGGAAATAAAAAGACATGACATATATATCAGGCGCATATTTACACATGTATACGTAAGCAAATGAAAAATGATGTAGCCTTATGATGAAAAAAGAATGTATTTTATAGAGAATTATTTATTTTTATATATTTTCTCATTCTTTGTCTTGCACTTAGCACAGCACTTTGTTATTAATCAGAGATCGGACATTATAAGGTTACATATTTCAATCAAATATTTGATAAAAACGATATACCTCACTCGCAATTATTTATACACCAATGTAGATATATATATATATATATATATATATATATAGATAGATAGATAGATAGATAGATAGATAGATAGATAGATAGATAGATAGATAAAACCATACTGAAATAGATAGATAGATAGATTGATATGATCGTACTGAGATAGATAGATAGATAGATAGATAGATAGATAGATAGATAGATAGATACATACATACATACATACATACATACATACATACATATAAACAGTGTGAACAGAGAAATAAACAGTACATGGTGAAGGCAATTTTCATTCCATATGCAATCATCAGTTTCCCTCATTTCGATATAAGCCCCTAAACGCTCTATATACATACAAAGAGAGGTAGCAAATGATCCGATGATCGTCACCATGCAAGTATTGATTTCAATAACCGGAGTGTCTACATCTAAAATGCACTGTTGCCATTATTGAACAGACTTTTCCATGAATGTAAGATACATTGACAATATATATATATATATATATATATATATATATATATATATATATATATATTGTCAATGTATCTATATATATATATATATATATATATATATATATATATATATATATATATATATATATATATATATATATATATATATATATATATATATATATATAAATATAAAATATGATCGTCATAAAAAGATAAAATTTATATTTATTATCCCTCACGCTGATAATAAGTAAAAGATGAAACTGAAGAACGAGCTAGCTAACCGGTTTCAAAACTCGCTGAACAGAGCTCAATCGAGTTTAATAAATACAGAATTATCACTAAAAAGAGATGAAAAATATGTATTAGGGAAAAAAAATATTTCTTAGATGGAAATTAGTTGGAGGCCCAATACAAAATCCCTCTGTTTGCAAAGTGAAGGTTTCAAAGACAAAATATAAATGCCCTTTCAATTGGTAATTCGAGTGGGACTTGCTAAGAATAGTAAATGCGTCCCCACTGAAATTAACGGCATAATTATGGCTATTTATTAGGTGTTCTACGATGGAAGAACCGTATGCATTGGTCAGAATGCCTGAAGGACTTTACTTAAGATAGTGGATCTTTGTTGTTACATGTTCCTTTATTCTGGCATCCCACCTTTGATCCGTTCTCCCTATATAGTCTGAGCCACAACTACATTTAAATGAATAAATCAAGGAACTATTATGATGTGGAGGGAGAACGTCTTTCCGCATGGATGGAAGGATAGGTGTGGCAGAAAAGACTACATGACTGTTAGCAGCAAAGTAAAAATTTCGAACCGCCAAAGAAACCCGCTTAGCCTATCTAACACTGATATTACCCAACCAAGGAAGGCGCGGGTACACAGGGTATCATTGTACTGTAGCCAGTTTTACTTTATTGAATAGACTTCAGTTGCATTTTCAACGTCTTTTCTAAGGTATGCATAAAACAATCAAAGTTAAAAGTAAAAATATAATGAATCCTTCATAATGACAATAACTCTCTCTCTCTCTCTCTATATATATATATATATATATATATATATATGTGTGTGTGTGTGTGTGTGTGTGTGTGTGTGTGTGTGTGTGTGTGTGTGTGTGTTCCTGGTTTTATATTATTGGCATATATTTTTTTTTATTTTGAAACAATATATTAGACACTAAGTCTGCGGTTAAGTTACAGCGTTTATGAATTTTTATCTTTTCCATTTTTATAAGCAATAATCTTTTCGTGTTTCCTAATTATATTTCAAATTTATCACAAATAATATTTTTGTTTCGCTGTTAAAAAACCTACCGGTGATATTTCTCTGTGGATTTTTCTAGTATGTTTTAACGAATATTTGTAACTTTGCATTCATATTCTTTCTGCTTAACATGACAATACTGTTTTGTCGTCGGACCTAAATGGTACATTCTTATTTTGTTGATGTTCTTGGCTGCATTTATTAATGTCTTGGATAATGGAGAATTCTGCTTATCTTTTACTGTATTGATTTTTAATGACTTTGGCTTTTAATATCCATTAAGTTTTCTTCATGTATTTGTAATTGATTATTGATTTGTAATAATTGAATTTTCTTTTTAGGAGATCAAGTTCATTTTTTATATATACGGATCATATGTAAGATGTAATATTAAGTCCTAAACTGAAGAATTTTTTATTCTTCAATCAATTAGTGATTAGAATAAATGATGAAAATTCTTTCCCGAATTTGCTAGATATGTTTCCTTTTGTATTGATTATTAAATCTTTAAACTATTAGAATGGAATATATGGTTACATCTAGATAGTTCCACAGTAAAACGATGAGGCTTACTTACCGCTTAAATGTAGTCAGTCGAGTTAACAAAGCGGAAAGCTTATTTGTTTATTTGAATATATAGTATATTATTTTTCCTTTTTAATTTAACATTGATATTATTGTATACTTTGTTAAGATTTTACCAGTTTTGATATATGTTTCGATGTTTCTTGTTTTTCAAAAGTTTGCTTTATTAATGTCTTTCGTAGCTATTTGATTTTGTAGTTTAAATAAAATGTCTTTAACACGCAATTTGTTTGAGCTACATTTTTTATTAAAAACTAATGAAACGTCTTTCTCAAGGACTTTTTAATTAATTTTTAATTCTTCTTGATGTTACTTTGATGTCACAAAAAACACAAAAAACGCAAGAAATTACGCAAATACTTAAAGATACTAAAAATAGTATCTAAAAAATATGAAAATGGATTACAAATATAAGAAGCCCTAAACATAATAATAAACAACGTAATATTAATCAAATTTCAATCAATTTATAACACAAGTTTATTAGATATATTTAGTAATTAAAATATACAGACGCACGTCACATTAATATATCATCATAACCAGCATTAGAGCTGTTTCAACTTGAAGGTACATTGGAAACCAGTGTGATTTCTCATTTTCAGTAACTCTGTAAATTTTCTCTTATTGGACTCCTCAACATGCCTCTTCAATCACGAAAATGATACCAAACGTCCAAACACTTCAAAGATTTTTTTTACGGCTAATGATAGAATCAATAGTACTTTTAATATCGTTGCTGCATTTGGAGTATACTATGAGATTTATATTTACTTAACACTTAACTGAAATCTATAAATATAAACGCGTTTTTAATCAAACGAAATAGTTTTTGACAATGAATCAATATTTAAACGAAGGAAATTTAACAAAAATACTTTAAGAACTTTCATGGATTATTCATATAACAAAGAATATATATATAAATATATATATATATATATATATATATATATGTAAGCAAATATATGGATATAAATCCGACAGTATGAAAGAAAAATACAGAAAAAACAAAAATCTGAATATGCATTTATGTAGTATTAATGTTAAAATAAAGTCGACGTTTCGGTCTATTTAAGACCATCTTCATGGACATTTTCATTTAAACATAATTAACATTATAACTTATAAAAATTTAACACAAAAGACGATGGACATAAGAGCCCAACTAATTCAAACAGATAACTGAAATTTTATACAGATCAGCGTTCTGTTTAAATATGATCACGTAGTCGTCACGTGGGCGATGTTGTTAAAACGTATTCGAAGATGATTTCCAAAACAATTAAAATATTAAAAAGTCGATTGAAAAATTTTTATAAACAGTTCAAGAAATCTCTTCCGTTGATGTCGGAATACGTAGTGATCAATTGGTTCTTATTTCTTCAACAAGCTTGAAGTCCTTCCCGTTACAAGGCAAATCCAAAAATGATTTCAAAAACGATGGAACAGTTCTAAAAAACAGTTTGATAATAAATCCATTCCATAATGGTAACAATCTCTCATTTATATATGTTTCATTAAAGACGACAGACAGGGTATAAGAGAATAAGCTTTTATTTATTTTTTTTGTTCGAAAAATAGTGTGTAGAAAACTGCCTAAATGTTCTGTAATTCCGAACGCTTTCGACTATTCTTTAAACCTTATAAAGATGATTTTATTTTTATTTTTTAACTGGATAGATGAGTTGCGTGTATATTTCTAGAATTATAGGGATGTTTTATTTTCCAAACACAGTCAGCCCTTTTTGGCCATGTTTGTAGTTAATATTATTAAGTGTTGTTTTTTTTTCTTTCTATTATTAAGGCTTCCATCATTCTTAATCTTTTTTTTTTACATTTAGATGAGGTTAATAAGTTTGTAGTTTGTAGTATGTTTTGGATGGAGTCTGGTAAGTTTGTGTGTGTGTTTTAATGCGTTTTCTTAGAGCTATGGTCAGATAGGTGTAACGTAAGACGTCAAGATAGGCATCTAGTAGCGTGACCGATGTAATCATTTATGAGTTCGGTTTGATCAGGAACACAGTTCCTTAAGGGGCATTTGTACAAGTAAATAATGTTTGTTCTTTGTAATTTAGATTTTGCGGGTGTGTTGATATTTTTGAGGCTATAGTTAGCTGTTTATTTTTTTTGTAGTAGATAATTAATTTAATTTTATTGTTTGTATCAATTGGGGTAGTGCATTTCTTTATGATATTTCTAAGTGAAGATTCATCTTGTTTGCAGTTGACACGCATTTGTTTTTTGCAGAAAATATTTATAGTATTTTTGGTTGTGTTCATTGTCGTTATTATTTACTTTGGAAAGGAATAGATTAATTTGGTGGTTGATGAGATGGTTTTAATTTTGCCAGTAATATCTTACTACTTTCATAAATTTTATCAACTGAATTAACAATATTATTGTCTATTTTTGTGTAGTTTTTAGTTATTTTTTCTATTTAAATATTGTAAACTTCAGGAGAAATTTTATAGAAATTGGCCGCTTTTTCCGATTTGGCCAAAACTTTGTCACACGCATTAATGTCCTTTACAACTAGGTCGAGATGTCTTTGAAAATGATTTTTATGTTTTTGAAAAAATATACTGTTAGTAATTTTTAATAAATCATTTACAAAACCATACAACCGTTCGATGAAAGGTGCCGGTTTTAAGATTTTAAAACCATAAACATCCGGGTTCTTTCGAAAAATTGTAATTATGAAGGAAGAAATAAGTCTTCCATCTCATCTTTCTTAGTAAATTCTCAGTTTTACGAAATAATTCCATTCGTTTGTGTTGGGAATATTCTTTAGAGAGATTTTGAAGTTAGTTTTTTACATGTTGATGTTAAAGATAAATGTAGAGAGTGCTCTACCGTAATGGAAGGATATATATATATATATATATAT